TTCTTTCGATTCTGGAGGCTCCAGATCACGAAATTAGGCCGAGGCTATTCTCCACCGATAATGAAGTCTATTGATCCTATTCTCCACGGATGATAAGTCCATTAAACACCGATTTGTGCCAATTCATTTTTGGATGGCATTTTCGTAATTTTTTGGGCGTCGAAATGCCATTTTTTTTGGATTTTGAAGGCTACAGATCACGGATTCGGCCTGAGACTATTCTTCAACGATGACTAAGTCCATTAAGCACCGATTTGGGCGTATTTATTCCGGGTCAATTTTTGGCAGATTGCAAAGGGGTACCATCACAGATTTTGGGCGATATTTTCGAAATGCCATTTTCTTTCGATTCTGGAGGCTCCAGATCACGAAATCAAGCCGAGGCTATTCTCCACCGATAATGAAGTCTATTGATCCTATTCTCCTCGGATGATAAGTCCATTAAACACCGATTTGGGCCAATTTATTTTCGGATGGCATTTTCATAATTTTGTGGGCGTCGAAATGCCATTTTCTTTGGATTTTGAAGGCTACAGATCACGGATTCGCCGTGAGACTATTCTTCAACGATGACTAAGTCAATTAAGGACCGATTTGGGCGGATTTATTCCAGGTCAATTTTTGGCAGATTGCAAAGGGGTACCATCACAGATTTTGGGGGATATTTTCGAAATGCCAGTTTCTTTCGATTCTGGAGGCTCCAGATCACGAAATCAAGCCGAGGCTATTCTCCACCGATAATGAAGTCTATTGATCCTATTCTCCACGGATGATAAGTCCATTAAACACCGCTTTGGGCCAATTTATTTTCGGATGGCATTTTCGTAATTTTGTGTGCGTCGAAATGCCATTTTTTTGGATTTTGAAGGCTACAGATCACGGATTCGGCCTGAGACTATTCTTCAACGATGACTAAGTCCATTAAGCACCGATTTGGGCGTATATATTCCAGGTCAATTTTTGGCAGATTGCAAAGGGGTACCATCACAGATTTTGGGCGATTTTTCCGAAATGCCATTTTCTTTCGATTCTGGAGGCTCCAGATCACGAAACATTGCCGAGGATATTCTCAACCGATAATGAAGTCTATTGATCCTATTCTCCACGGATGATAAGTCCATTAAACACCGATTGGGACCAATTTATTTTTGGATGGCATTTTCGTAATTTTGTGGGCGTCGAAATGCCATTTTCTTTGGATTTTGAAGGCTACAGATCACGGATTCGGCCTGAGACTATTCTTCAACGATGACTAAGTCCATTAAGCACCGATTTGGGCGGATTTATTCCGGGCCCATTTTTGGCAGATTGCAAAGGGGTAACCATAACAGATTTTGGGCGATTTTTCAGAAATGCCATTTTCTGTCGAGTCTGGAGGCCCCAGATCACGAAATCAGGCCGAGGCTATTCTCCACCGATAATGAAGTCTATTGATCCTATTCTCCACGGATGATAAGTCCATTAAACACCGATTTGGGCAAATTTATTTTCGTATGGCATTTTCGTAATTTTGTGAGCGTCGAAATGCCATTTTCTTTGGATTTTGAAGGCTACAGATCACCGATTCGGCCTGAGACTATTCTTCAACGATGACTAATTCCATTAAGCACCGATTTGGGCGGATTTATTCTGGGTCAATTTTTGGCAGATTGCAAAGGCGTACCATCACAGATTTTGGGCGATTTTTCCGAAATGCCATTCTTTCGATTCTGGAGGCTCCAGATCACGAAATCAGGCCGAGGCTATTCTCCACCGATAATGAAGTCTATTGATCATATTCTCCACGGATGATAAGTCCATTAAACACCGATTTGGGTCAATTTATTTTCGGATGACATTTTCGTAATATTGTGGGCGTCGAAATGCCATTTTCTTTGGATTTGAAGGCTACAGAACACGGATTCGACCTGAGACTATTCTTTAACGATGACTAAGTCCATTAAGCACTGATTTGGGCGATTTATTCCGAGTCAATTTTTTGCAGATTGCAAAGGGGTACCATCACAGATTTTGGGCGATTTTTTCGAAATACCATTTTCTTTCGATTTTGGAGGCTCCAGATCACGAAATCAGGCCGAGGCTATTCTCCACCGATAGTGAAGTCTATTGATCTTATTTTCCACGGATGATAAGTCCATTAAACACCAATTTGGGCCAATTTATTTTCGGATGGCATTTTCCTAATTTTGTGGGCGTCGAAATGCCATTTTCTTTGGATTTTAAAGGCTACAGATCACCGATTCGGCCTCAGACTATTCTTCAACGATGACTAAGTCCATTAAGCACCTATTTGGGCGGATTTATTCCGGGTCAATTTTTGGCAGATTGCAAATGGGTACTACCATCACAGATTATGGGTGATTTTTCCGAAATGCCATTTTCTTCCGATTCTGGAGGCTACAGATCACGAAATCAGGCCGAGGCTATTCTCCACCGATAATGAAGTCTATTGATCCTATTCTCCACGGATGATAAGTCCATTAAACTCTAATTTGGGCCAATTTATTTTTGGATGGCATTTTCGTAATTTTGTGGGCGGCGAAATGTCATTTTCTTTGGATTTTGAAGGCTACAGATCACGGATTCGGCCTGAAACTATTTTTCAACAATGACTAAGTCCATTAAGCACCGATTTGGGCGGATTTATTCCGGGTCAATTTTTGGCAGATTGCAAAGGGGTACCATCACAGATTTGGGCGATTTTTCCGAAATGCCATTTTCTTTCAATTCTGGAGGCTACAGATCACGAAATCAGGCCGAGGTTATTCTCCACCAATATTGAAGTCTATTGATCTTATTCTCCACGGATGATAAGTCCATTAAACACTTATTTGTGCCAATTTATTTTCGGATGGTATTTTCATAATTTGTGGTGTCGAAATGCCATTTTCGTTGGATTTTGAAGGCTACAAATCACTGATTCGCCTGAGACTATTCTTCAACGATGACTAAGTCCATTAAGCACTGATTTGGGAGGATTTATTCCGGGTCAATTTTTGGCAGATTGCAAAGGGGTACCCTCACACATTTTGGGCGATTTTTCCGAAATGCCATTTTCTTTCGATTCTGGAGGCTACAGATCACGAAATCAAGCCGAGGCTATTCTCCACCGATAATGAAGTCTATTGATCATATTCTCCACGGATGATAAGTCCATTAAACACCGATTTGTGTCAATTTATTTTCGGATGGCATTTTCGTAATTTTGTGGGTGTCGAAATGCCAATTTCTTTGTATTTTGAAGGCTACAGATCACGGATTCGGCCTGAGACTATTCTTCAACGATGACTAATTCCATTAAGCACCGATTTGGGCGGATTTATTCCGGGTCAATTTTTGGCAGATTGCAAAGGGGTAACATCACAGATTTTGGGCGATTTTTCCGAAATGGCATTTTCTTTCAATTCTGGAGGCTACAGATCACGAAATCAGCCCGAGGTTATTCTCCACCAATAATGAAGTCTATTGATCCTATTCTCCACGGATGATAAGTCCATTAAACACCGATTTGGGCCCATTAATTTTCGGATGGCATTTTCGTAATTTTTTGGGCGTCGAGATGCCATTTACTTTGGATTTTGAAAGCTACAGATCACGGATTCGGCCTGAGACTATTATTCAATGATGACTAAGTCCATTTAGCACCGATTTGGGCGGATTTATTCCGGGTCAATTTTTGGCAGATTGCAAAGGGGTACCATCACAGATTTTGGGCGATTTTTCCGAAATGCCATTTTCTTTCGATTCTGGAAGCTCCAGATAAAGAAATCAGGCCGAGGGTATTCTCCACCGATAAGGAAGTCTATTGATCCTATTCTCCACGGATGATAAGTCCATTAAACACCGATTTGGGTCAATTTATTTTCGGATGGCATTTTCGTAATATTGTGGGCGTCGAAATGCCATTTTCTTTGGATTTGAAGGCTACAGATCACGGATTCGACCTGAGACTATTCTTTAACGATGACTAAGTCCATTAAGCACTGATTTGGGCGGATTTATTCCATGTCAATGTTTTGCAGATTGCAAAGGGGTACCATCACAGATTTTGGGCGATTTTTTCGAAATACAATTTTCTTTCGATTCTGAGGCTCCAGATCACGAAATCAGGCCGAGGCTATTCTCCACCGATAGTGAAGTCTATTGATCTTATTTTCCACGGATGATAAGTCCATTAAACACCAATTTGGGCCAATTTATTTTCGGATAGCATTTTTGTAATTTTGTGGGCGTCGAAATGCCATTTTCTTTGGATTTTAAAGGCTACAGATCACCGATTCGGCCTCAAACTATTCTTCAACGATGACTAAGTCCATTAAGCACCGATTTGGGCGGATTTATTCCGGGTTAATTTTTGGCAGATTGCACAGGGGTACCATCACAGATTATGGGCGATTTTTCCGAAATGCCATTTTCTTTCAATTCTGGAGGCTACAGATCACGAAATCAGGCCGAGGTTATTCTCCACCAATAGTGAAGTCTATTGATCCTATTCTCCACGGATGATAAGTCCATTAAACAGTGATTTGTGCCAATTTATTTTCGGATGGCATTTTCGTAATTTGTGGGCGTCGAAATGCCATTTTCTTTGGATTTTGAAGGCTACAGATCACGGATTCGGCCTGAGACTATTCTTCAACGATGACTAAGTCCATTAAGCACCTATTTGGGCGGATATATTCCGGGTCAATTTTTGGCAGATTGCAAAGGGGTACCATCACAGATTTTGGGCGATTTTTCCGAAATGTCATTTTCTTTCGATTCTGGAGGCTTCAGATCACGAAATTGGCCGAGGCTATTCTCCACCGATAATGAAGTCTATTGATCCTATTCTCCACGGATGATTAGTCCATTAAACACTGATTTGGGCCAATTTATTTTCGGATGGCATTTTCGTAATTTTGTGGGCGTCGAAATGCCATTTTCTTTGGATTTTGAAGGCTACAGATCACGGATTCGGCCTGAGACTATTCTTCAACGATGACTAATTCCATTAAGCACCGATTTGGGCGGATTTATTCTGGGTCAATTTTTGGCAGATTGCAAAAGGGTAACATCACAGATTTTGGGCGATTTTTCCAAATGCCATTTTCTTTCAATTCTGGAGGCTACAGATCACGAAATCAGGCCGAGGTTATTCTCCACCAATAATGAAGTCTATTGATCCTATTCTCCACGGATGATAAGTCCATTAAACACCGATTTGTGCCAATTTATTTTCGGATGGCATTTTCGTAATTTGTGGCCGTCGAAATGCCATTTTCTGTGGATTGTGAAGGCTACAGATCACGGATTCGGCCTGAGACTATTCTTCAATGATGACTAAGTCCATTAAGCACCAATTTGGGCGGATTTATTCTGGGTCAATTTTTGGCAGATTGCAAAGGGGTACCATCACAGATTTTGGGCCATTTTTCCGAAATGCCATTTTCTTTCGATTCTGGAGGCTCCAGATCGCGAAATCAGGCCGAGGCTATTCTCCACCGATAATGAAGTCTATTGATCCTATTCTCCACGGATGATAAGTCCATTAAACACCGATTTGGGCCAATTTATTTCTAGATGACATTTTCGTAATTTTGTGGGCGTCGAAATGCCAATTTCTTTGGATTTTGAAGGCTACATATCACGGATTCGGCCTGAGACTATTCTTCAACGATGACTAAGTCCATTAAGCACCGATTTAGGCGGATTTATTCTGTGTCAATTTTTGGCAGATTGCAAAGGTGTACCATCACAGATTTTGTGCGATTTTTCCGAAATGCCATTTTCTTTTGATTCTGGAGGCTACAGGTCACAGGCAGAATGGAATGGAGGGTTCCTTCCTGCCTGGTTGTGGTCCGACATGTAGATGAGCCTGAAGCAAACACCATGCTGATCTTTGCTTGGGCCGGCTCCGAGGTACGAAGTCACTCGACTAAGTTGGAGAGGTAGGCTTAGAACGACAATTCAACGAACGTTTACCAAGTAGAAGCGACATTAGAATTACACTAACGACAAGTGTTAGGACCGTAAACAGACGAACTAACAACAAGTGTCGGTACGTACGACATTAGTTTATTCCACTAACGCCAAGAAGTTTATCACGACAAGTAGCGGTAGGCAAACTACTAATAGCTGGTAAATGAAAGGACTCGCATCTCTTACAACCGAGCCGACCTCAGGAGAACAGGAGTCGGAAATCACACTCGAGCTGTAAAAAAAAAGGAGACAGACGTGCTTGTAAATAAAATAATAAATTGAATATTCAAATTTTGTGGGCCTGGAATACGCGAGTTGTGGGCTCTGGCCCAGTGGTGTTCTTTTCTAATTTGATACTGGGCTTTTTCCAAGTAGGACCACGGCACCGCACGTTTGGGCCCGTTCATCAATTGGGCGAGTTGACGTTGAACTTATTTGATAGTTGATTAGTCTTCTTTTCTAAAAATCACAGAAATAGGATTCGTTTGTTATCCATTCCACTGATATCCTCATCAGAGCAATAAATGGTCACCAACTCACCATATAAATTTTGCCCAAATGGCCACATCTTGAAGATCTCTGCTGTCCTGTTTCAGAGGCAGAGAGCACTGGGTTATTTTGGATCAAGAAGAAGAAGAAGAAGGAAAGAAAATGGAAGCAGCAGCAGGGAGTTGTTTACAGTACAATTACTACCACTCAGCAAAGTCATCTCTTGTTGCTGCTGCAACAGCTTCTGCTTCTTCTTCTTCATCAATCCCTCTCAAAACCAGCAGCAGCTTCTTGAAAGGGCTTAGGATAAAAGGAAGGAATCAGCTGCCGCGGAAGCAGAACACTAGTACAGGATTCCTTCATCTAGTAGTTCAAGCTTCTTCAGCAGCTGAAACCACATCCACCGCTGCTGCTGCTGCTGCTGTTCAAGAAAGATGGATTCTTGTTCCTGTTGGTCAGCCTCTCTTTCTCTCTTGATCTTATCTTACTGGGATATTGTCACCGTTAGAAGTGGGTTCAGGGGTAAAATGGGTTGGGTCGGGTTTGGGAATTTCGAAACAGAGGATAATGTTGTTGTTATTGTTGCAGGAGATGGAGACACGAGGCACATTGGATTTGAGGTTAAGATGCCCGGCGCCTTCGAAATTGCCTCAGTAAGTAGTAGTAACCCTTTTCTCCTGCATTCATCTTTCACATCTTGTTCCGTTAGAATCCTTGATGAAGGGAAGGGAAAGGGAAAGAATTTCAATCCATGAACTTTTGCTGTGGGCAGAATGAGGTGACAGTTGGGCGTGTTCCTGAGAAAGCTAACATGGTCATCCCGGTTGCTACAGGTAAGTAGCTACAACCATTGAAAAATTGGCCCTAAAGAAGAATTTACAAAGAATAGGGGCAGATAATTGAGAACTCTGGAACTCATTAGTTAATAAAATACAGTGTCGGGAGTGCACGCTAGAATCCAGAAGAAAGGAGGGAATCTTTTGGTGACGGATTTGGACAGCACCAACGGCACTTTCATCGGCGACAAGCGCCTCCGACCTGGCGTTGCTTCCACTCTCGTTTCTGGCAATGTCGTCATTTTTGGTACATTCTTGATGATACTGTCTCTCGCCGGTTGTTTCGTCGGTTAATGACTTGGAAAATGAATCTTGTGTCATTCTCTTAATATTTGAACAAATTCGGTGTAGGGGACATTCATCTCGCGATGTTTCGAGCTTCGAAATTGGAGAATGTGGAAGTTGCTGCTGCTTCCAATGGCTCGTCAACTGAGGAAGGAGAAGCAACGACAGAGACCGAGAAGTCGACAGAATCCACTAGTAGTTAGTTAGAAAAAAAATGATACAAGTTGTGTGCTACTGGTTGGTTAATGATGGCCACGACTCAATTCGGCCCAGAATTGTATCAAATCGAAATGAATAAGATGATAAGGAGAAGATAAAACTAAAACGAAGATGAACAATACAATATTATTGTTACATTTGTTTCAACATGATCTGATTCTGTCATTTCATTACCTTGCAATCAAAGCAAGAAGTGTCATTACTCATTACCTTGCCTAAGAAGTCATACTTTTGCTACATCTTGTTTGGGCCTACGCCAAGCCTCGCAGGCCCAAGAAATGGTCCATCTATCAACCTTCCTTCCATGGCCCAGTAGTTCCTATTGGTTTTCATTTCAACGACTGCGAGCTGAATCACCACTTTTCACCATTTCCCTGACCAATCGGAATTCTACCTTTTCCCCTCTCCGATGGACGCCTTGCAGTCCCGCCGAACCGAAGCGATAAGTATCGCCGTCGCCGTGGTTGCCATCGGCGCCGGCACTGCCTACTATCTCTACATCACCAGGAAACCCAAACCGAAAGGTGAAAGGTCCTTCCTTTTTTTTTTCCCATCATTCTTTTTGTCTGTAAACGAATTCATGTATGATCGTCGACCGTGGTCGAGAATTTCTGTCGCTTTTGTGTTGATGCTATTGAGTGGAAACGGATCCATGGTGGGTATGCATTGTATTTCGGATTCTTGCATTTCGCATCAGACTCCCCGAGAGATTTTTTTCAGGGTACCAAATGTTTCCTTTTGCCGTACCTTCCATGTTTTGCTAGCCATTGGTGTGATATTTGGTTTCTGAATGGTTTGGGAAGCATCGTTGCTAGTATGCTTTCTGCTGACACAATGCCATTTCTTGGGCTGCAGCCTGCCTTGATCCTGACAACTTCAAGGAATTCAAGCTTGTTAAGCGCACCCAACTCAGCCATAATGTGGCCAAGTTTCGGTTTGAGCTCCCGACACCTGACTCAGTTCTGGGATTGCCAATTGGACAGCATATGAGTTGCAGGTGTGTTTAGTTTCTGATCTACCTTTTTCTATTTGATTTCCCTACACAAGTGATGAGTTGTTCTATTAGGTAAGTGGTGGGTGTTATATATCAGTATACCGTATGTTTGATAAACTACAAATTGTGTGGACAAATAGGGGAAAGGACAGTGTGGGGGAAGATGTTGTGAAGCCATATACTCCCACAACTTTGGACTCTGATGTTGGCTACTTTGAATTAGTTATAAAGGTTGTCTCTAACTTGGGAGCATTTTTTAAGGCTTTGGTTCATTGGCATTGTCTTTGTTCTGTATTCCGTTCCTGATTCTAGAGTCGTATGAACAACAGATGTATCCACAAGGGAGAATGTCTCACCACTTCCGAGAGCTGCAGGAAGGTGATTACTTGGCTGTGAAAGGGCCTAAGGTAAATGATCTTTGCGTTCCTCACGATGAACTTTTCGGTGCCTGGCATGGATTCGTCTTTAATAGATTGGTTAGTTTTCCCATTGTTTAAGCTACAACCTAATAATCAAGTCTCATCCTGGTATAACTATTGCCATTTTGCACGTGGTTTCATTTTCAGTATCACTACTTAAACTGGGCATTTGATTAGTGAAGCATAATATCATGGGGGTCTCTAACCACTATCACCAGAACTAAACTTATTTGCTTGTTAGTTTAAGTTCATTCCTTTGATGTCTTGATAGTGAACATAAAAGTTTTGAACATTCTTGAACATTCAGGGGCGCTTCAAATATCAACCCAACCAAGTGAAAGCATTCGGAATGCTAGCTGGAGGCACTGGCATTACTCCAATGTTCCAAGTATGCATTTCAAGATTCCTTCTGATTCTCAAACCATTTGGATTGTTGAAGGCCTTAACTCTTATTGCTCAATTGTTTGTCTAATTTCCAAAGGTTGCCAGAGCCATAATGGAGAACTCGAAGGACAAAACCAACGTAAGCCTCATATATGCCAACGTCACGTTTGAGGACATCCTTCTGAAGGTCTCCTCTCTTTTGCTCGCCATTATTCAGTCTAGTCACTTTTACAAGTTGCATGTCTATTTTGGACTGTATCTTATTTCTCCATTTGCAGGAAGAGCTTGATAATCTTGCCAAAAGTTTCCCTGGCCGCTTCAAAGTGTACTATGTTCTGAACCAGGTACTTACCCCTGAGAAGTTATCTGTATGCTTTCTTGTGTCATTATCATGTTCTTTCAGAACTATTATTTTCACCTTCATACACCTCACCGCAAATGAAACTGTGTTCTTCCTCACCATCAATCTGAATCCCCGTTCGCAGCCACCAGAAGAATGGGATGGTGGCGTCGGATATGTAACTGCAGATATGATTAAAGAACACTGTCCCCCACCAACAGCAGATGTTCAGGTGATTTGCCTCCCCATCACAATTCCCTTTCTTTTCACCATTTCTGCTTAATAAACGGGTTTCTCGTTGTTCCGAACTTGTAGATGTTGAGGTGTGGCCCTCCACCAATGAACAAGGCCATGGCAGCTCACCTGGACGCTCTTGGATTCACTCCCCAAATGCAGTTCCAGTTTTGACAGAAGCTTGCTGTTGGAGATCGGCTTTTCTTCTGGTTACACCACAGAACAATTGATTGACTACCAGGGAGAGACGCAACGACTTATTTCATCTGTTGGCATTTGAGACCAGTTGCAGAACTTTTAAACAGATGCAGCTGATTAGTATACTATGATTAGGGGGCTGCCTACTATTAAACCCCACTTTAAAACTAGATTAAACTCATTTTTAGAACTTAAATTATACCCCAATGTACCATGTAACGCGATACAGATATGCTGCTGTCTACTGATTATGTAGGCAGACAAATTGTTCTGAATTTTAATGCACATCATCGATCATATGATCAAGGTTAAAAGAAGAATCAGTCAAGGCAAAGCTCGTGACCAAAAAAGGACTACTGCTAACACTTGAATACTGGACAACGCCAAAACTTCGAATCAGTAAACTTGAGTCCGTTCAGAATACATCAGAAGCAAAAATCAGGTGACATCAAATCTGGCAGAAAAGGTGAAGAAAACAAGCTGGCGATGCAGCAACTTAGGTTTATGGTATGTTAATCCCTAGCACAATGATACAAACTGGAAGCCTGCTGCTAATGGATGAAGAAACTAGTACACAACAAAAAGAAAGGGAAACAAGGAAAAAAATCCATCTGGGATACTCCTGCAGTAAATTGCAAGCTAATCATCGCCTTCTCATTCCCCTTCCCCTACCTCCGCGCATAGCTCCTCCACGGCCTCGACCACCCATCATAGCAGCATCTCCTTGAGCACTCTCAGACTGCAGCATCAAACACGAGAACCGAAAACAGCATTCAGTGCTTACATTTGTGACAAAATTTTGCTCTATCCATCACCAAGAATGCACTAATTGCTTGAAAATTTGGCTGTAAGGGGTTCAAAGAAAGATCAGTTAAACATTTTCACCTTTGGGTTCTTGACAGTCTCATCGACACTTAGAACAAGACAAGCAGCCTCGGTAGCAGCATTAATAGCATTAATCTGCAACAAAGCATCATAAGCATGGTACACATGTCAGCACATAGGTTGTAAAAAAAAATATATGAAACAACCGTCAAAAGTAAATAGCGTAGAAGAACTCGCCTTGACTACGGCTGGCTCCCAGACAAAGTTTGCAAATGAGTCAGCAATGCCGCCAGTGTTGATGTCCACCCCATAAGGAGCGCCCTCACCTATAGAAACCCCAAAAAATGTTAACAGTCATGGTGTTTGCATAGAATTAAGTTCAGGAAGGAAGCATAATGGAGTTCATTACACCAAAGTAGAGCCTACCAGATGCATGGGCATGCTTCTGTCTCAATTTGTTCAGCACATCAGTAGCGTCAAACCCCGCGTTGTCGCAAAGTTGCCGAGGGATAATCTACAAAAGGAAAAATGTTAAGCCAATAGCAGTTCTACATCGTTGTGGTCACGCAATAAATAGACATCAAAATTTTGACAGAACTTTCTAATGAAATACTAGACCCTTACACAAGACTCTTTTACTTCCAGCAATTGAGGGGTCCAACAAGTAAACCTCAGGAAGTCGTTGTAGGCTTGTAGCAAGAATATATTTTTTCTTACTTCAATACCTTTCTCATTTAATTAAAAGCCCATCTTTAGCTCAACAAGATCCCGCTCTGGTATGAGTAGGAACATGAGGACCCTCACAGTTGCAGGTTATACAGTAAAGGAGCTAGCAGCATACTCTATTGTCATGTTTCTCTTAAAACTACAGATTTGAAAAGGATAGAAGTTGGCCCAGGAGAAAATTAAAACATGAACATAAGACATGACTGCCTACACCTTCTGAACTCCATAGGGTGAAGACTGAATATCTCAAACCTACCTCCAGAGCTTTGGCATATGAGTTTATGAAAAGCTGGGACTTCCCAGAAATGCTGCGAGCATGCTGCCTCAGGTAGCGGCTTATCTCCATCTGAAATAAAACAGGATGTTACATCCTTAAGACATTAACAAACAAGCACATGCAGAACACTGATGAAAAGAGTTACAATAAGCTCCATACATCTATAGCACCACCACCAGCCACCACTGTTGAGTTCTTCAGGGCCCTTCGAACTATCATGATTGCATCATGTAAACTCCTTTCAGCTTCCTCAATGAACTGAGAATATGAAAGAACAAGGATAGGCGTCCAAGAACACAAGCCTCAAAATAAGAAAAAGCTGAGTAACATAACATAATCAATTGCACCAACAATTTATAACCTGATCAGCACCACCACGCAAAACTATAGTTGCGGTTCTTCCGGAAGGACATCCACTGAATATATTAAATCGCTCATTTCCAACTTGCTTTTCCTCGAACACCTCACAAGTCCCAAGAACCTAGCACCAGAAGAATCACTCAGTTGCTTGCAAAGGACAAGCTAAATATTTTTATATATATCCACATGTGTACTTGCAGCGATTAAAGTTAATGCTATGATTCCGAGAATACAGCATACAAGTTCTTACCTCATCAATCACATTGTTGACGGTAGTTTGTACAGTTCCACCAGTGGCTGCAGCAACCCTCTGAAGATCCTCTTCAGCTACACGTCCAGCACAGAAGATATCCCGGTCGGCGAAGTACTGAACGGGGAGT